TTCTGTACGAAGGCTGGCTGTCTCACCTTCTGCTCTCCTGTTCAGTATTGTACTGTATTGTACTGTGATAGCCTTCGATTATTGCCGAAAGTTTTGGGTAGAAGTGATACCTTATATTTGCTAACTTAAAGAGGACCTTCCACCTAAGGCCCCATTCACACGTAGCGACATACCTTTTGCAGCGGCCGGGATAGCGCGACTTTCGGGGCGACGTTCCAGCAACGATCCAGCGACGGTATCGCGACCTTCTCCGTCGGGCTCCATTAGAAAAAAGCAAAATCGCACAAAATCTGCCGAAAAAAGGGTCCTGTAGAAGCGACTTGCGACCGCGACATGGAGCTAAGACAGCTCCATTGAATATCATTAGCCGGCGACTTCTCGCGATATCGTGCGGCAAAAATGCGCTAAATCGCTACGTGTGAATGGGGCCTTAGTGTCAAAAACCTAAAATAGCCCCAACATTTTTTGTTTGCTATAATTTAAAAAAAACACATACCGTATATACTCGAGTATAAGCCGAGTTTTTCAAGGCTTATACTCAAGTATATACGGTACTTACCAGGTCCATGGAATCCAGCGATGTCTTCCTTGCAGCCAAAGTTTCACCTGTGCTTCTCTTCTTCCACCATGTCATCTTGGATCCGATATGACTTCCTGACTTTGACACATGGCCTCCTGGTGACACCCCACTATGCAATGCCATGCAAGCACTAAAACGTCAGCAATATACTGACCAGCAGCCTTCATTGATATTTCAGGAGGCCATGGATGGCTGAGGGAACTTCCCTCTAGCCTAGATGAAAATTAAAACGAGAAAGCAATAAGAAAAAAAAAATGTATTGTAAATCTACGTATGATTGCGTAGAAGGGAGGGCAGAGGAAGTGACTAAGTAAAAGTCTGAATCAAGATGAAAGGTCCACTTTAAGTTATTAAAGATGCAAATGTTCAGGATGCCTTAGAACTCGTCTAACAGAAGTACTCTGGGTAAAGACAAAAAGTTACCCTTGCAGTTTGGCTACCCACACTGCAAGGGTTAGGTGATCATTTTGTCTAAAGGGCTCAAATGAAGCTGTATTACTCACCTGATCTTTGATCTCACGGCGGCGGTCAGCACCCACCTATTTTCCCCTCCGCTATGACTATGGAAAGTCCCTCGGCATCATCACATCTAATTCAAGTCAATGGACCTGCATAAGATGTGGTGACACCAGTGGCCCTTAGATCACCAAAGCCCAGGGAAGAAGAGACTGTGGGAACTGGTCCAGCAGCCCGGGGGGAGGGATGGTGGGATTGGTGAGTAATCCAGCTTTATTTGGCCCCCCCAGGCAAAATGAGCACTTAACCATTGAAGTGCAGGGGTAGCCCCACCGCAAGGGTATGTATGTTTTCTGTTTGCTCAGAGTTCTTATTTAGGGCTCATGGTAAGAGACAGATTACATGCTAAAGGTCATTCAATAAAAACAAAAACAATCTGCAAAGGTAAAGATTAAAGGAGACGTGTGGGGAGAGTAAAACAAACATACTCTTACTAATAAGTAAAGCCAGCTGATTGGTCAGCTCTTGGTCTCTGCTCCCAGACTGTCAGCCACTACCCCCTACAGGGGGGTGGGGGGTGAGCAGAGCCAGCTGTCAAGCAGCCAAGCCAAGGTGGATCCCGCCAATATCATCAGGGTCCTTCCTGACTGCTGCATAGCTGTGCCTTGCCAAAAGCTGTTATCTGCACAGGAGTAGATTAGTAAATGTACTCAGGTGACCCAAAAGAGAAGTAAAGCCAAAAAAAAGTTTGACTTTACTTCTCTCTTAAAGTATATGTAAACCCAATAGAACAATTTGTGTGATCACAAGCAGTAAATAACAGCATAAGAATAACTGTCCACGGATGGCAATATTTAACTAAGCTCTATCCTGCAGTCATGTGATCTCCATGATGGTCCTCTGCACCTCACTGTCAGAGGGAAAGATGAGTTGCAGCGTGTGATGCGTTCTGTATACATCACACCAGGCCATTCCCTTCCTCTCTCCAGCAGTGTCACATGGGGCTGCTTCCTAAGGTGAAAATAAGAAGTGGCCGGCTTCTGGGAACCAAGCACAATGAGTGTGGCAATGCAGAAGAAGGAGGGTGGGCGAGAATAGTGCGCTCGCCCTAAATAAGGTGGTACAGGGAAATGACGGATCAAACAGGTGTTTACTATATAAAGCTGGACATACACTGCAAATTTCAGCCTGTTCTTGATGAACCTGATCGAAGGAGGAGGTCGGAAACCTTTGAATAAACCGAGGCGGCAGCCAATGAGCTGTCGGCTCTGTTCGGGTATCCTGACAACGGCTGGCGGCCAATGTCAGAATAGAATGAAGACAGGGGGAGATTCCCCAATCAATGTTCATAAGCATTGATGGAGGAATCTGTCATATTTTCTTTGTTCAGCCCGCAGGTTGAGTGAAGAAAATATTACAGTGTATGGCCAGCTTAAGAATCCAGAAGTGTACAGAAACACTGAGCACACAGTATAAGTGATTCATTCTAATAATATTGGGGATTTACAGACATTGTAACTTACTACAGTGCAATCAATGTGGAAGAACATAAACTATACTTGTTCTGTGAAATGAATGCATGCCAAGTAATGTAGAAGTGTGACCGTTTCAGGTATTTATTGACCTCATATAGGTCACACGACGACTCCCGCTAACAATGCCTGTATCTGCTTTTCTCTCCAGAAAGACGGCACCATCTTTGCTCCTGCATCATCCAGGCTCATCATCTAGGAGTGCTGGCTCAGATAATACAATCATATTAAAAGGCATGTGACTATATTTCACCCATACTTTGGTGGTAACATGAAACGTGGTCACATTCCCTAGCCCCTCACCCTCAAACTTACCTGAATCATGGGGTTCTTCTGCCCGCAGCATTCCATTTGCCTTAGAATTTGTCTAAGCGGACGCCTCCTTCACAAGAATCTGCATACTGTAGACTACAAGTTCTATCTGCTACTGCAGCAGAGGGGCTCACAGATCTCAAGGGAGCATGGTGACACCAGCACTCATACTTCCTCCAGCCCTGTATCGGTAGGTTCATACAGCCGTATAGAGCTGGGGCTAGTGAAAGAGTCTGCAGGAGCCTGAGCATTGCACCTGCAAGGCACTGGGCACAGACGCAATGCTCTGCAGATATGAATGCAACAAATTAATAAGTATTGTTTCTTTTATCAACACAGGTGCACGTATTCATGTTTTCCGATGCCTTTAATCCTGGTGCTTGTGCAGTTCTATGTTTACAAATGCCTGACGCAGATCAGCTCTCATCTCATTCCAATGTACAGTCTGATCACTGGGGGAGAGGAGACTGAGGACATGCTTCCCTCTGCCTGCAGCAGAATAAAGGACTGGCATTCAGCCTAGGCAAAGCCACTAGACTGGGGGTCAAAGATGGATTGTTATGATATAATAAGGTGGAGATTTTCTGATTAATGATACCGCCGCTGTATATTGTGGCAATAAGAAATGCCTTCATGTGGATGTGTGATATTACCAAGAGGTCCATTTGCTGCAGTTCTAAGCCCTTATTCATAGAGATACGGAGCACAGATGAAGGCAACATACATTCCAATAGATTGCGGTAACGGTAGTGTGAATGATCAGGCTGCTGTACGGTGGCAGTTAATGACACATCTCGGTGCCTGTCTACGGACTGCTCAGGAATGTGACATTAGCTAATGTAGGCATGTGGGAGGTCACTCACCTTCGTACTTTGTAATGTCTTCTCTAGTGAAAGCTCGGTAGCCTGTGATCCCGTGCTGTGGTGACAAAATATCAGCTGCAGTCTTATCTGTGACTTGGGGAACTATCAGCTCCTTGAAATGTGAGAAGCACCTAATAGGATGCCAGTACGCTTGCGTAATAGAAGCGCTCTCCCGGAGGCCGCTGGGACACGTAGTCCTCAGGCCTCAGGAAAAGAAGCCTGGTGGGCTCTCATGGACTGCACTACCCACAATGCATCGCTCGCGAGTTAAAGGTTAGCCAGGGACTGTTTAACCCCGTCCTTCCCTGTGTCACTGTCTTCTATGACATTTACATTCAGGACAGCCTGAGTAGCTGTGTCATTGTGACACAGGACCGACTGCACTCAAAGCGTCAAACCGTGACATGCTCGACTGGAAATTCTTCATGTTGGTATGCAAAGGAAATGGGACAACAATTGGGAGAGAGTTCGCTGTGACTGAATCGCACACTTACCCTAGGTTAGGTTAAACGGCACTGCAACCAGTGGCAGTCAGTTACTAGAAGAAAAAAAAACCAATCCAAAGCTTCCATAGAGATCACACAGGACAGAAACCACCGAGCGCCTTCCCTGTATAGTAAGACATGCCCACAAATTATAATGCAGAAGAAGCCACTTTGACTGCAGCTTTAGCTAGAACATGCATGTTACCAAAGGCTGAATACATGTATGAAACTGCAGCTGACAGGAGCGCCAGTCACGTGGCACACTCAGAAGAGCGCCGGTCATGTGGAACACTCAGCAGAGAGACAGTCAAGTGGCACACTCAGGGCCGGCCTTTAGGGTGTGCGAGCTGTGCGGCTGCACAGGTGAAAGTAAATATTTTACTATCATAAGTGTCTGAATGAATGGGAAGCCTCTGTATTGAGTGCTGAGGCTGCAGAAAAAGAAATAAAGTGCAAAGACTAAAAATTAATTTCACATGAGATGAACGAAAACTAAAAACATTTTCATTCGTTTCATCAAACAAAACACATTTATATGCTATTTTGGATTCAGCCACTGGCGTGTTCTGGAGGTGGGGCGAATGACATCATATAACACCGCACGTGATGGGCACCACCAATTTGGTGTATATCTAGGTATACACCAAGATGGTGGCGCATATATCGGCGTGTAACATCATGCTCCCTGCCTCCAAGATGGTGGCACGCATTCACAGAACACGCTGGTGGCCAACATTCTCAAACAAATTATTATGCGCCTGAATATATTTTTCGTATATTCGGACATATAGTAATCCATTCATTTAACACGTAGTCTCAGTTTTATGTTCTGTTTTTTATTTTTACTTTTCTATATACACTTACTTGAAAAAGGGGTCGGCATGACAACCTGACACTTTATTTTTATAGACTCTATTGTAGTTTGACATTTATTGTTTGTTTGTTCTGTTGTTTTATGTAATACAAATACTTCTATTGTGCCGACAGGTTTAATAGCTTTGAATAAAAGTTTTATTTTTATCATACTTTTTAATATGTTTCTATGGGGGCTTAACAAAATGGGAGTCTTTATTAGAAAAAATGGGTGTGGTTACTGAGGGGTATGGTTACTGAGGGGTGTGGTCACATAGGGGTGTGGTCACTGAGGGGCGCTGTAAAGCTTTCTCTCACAGGGCGCCTAAAGGCCTAAGGCCGGTCCTGGGTACACTCAGAAGAGCGCCGGTCATGTGGAACACTCAGCAGAGAGCCGGTCAAGTGGCACACTCAGAAGAGCGCCGGTCATGTAGCACACTCAGCAGAGCACTGGTCACGTGGCACACAAAGGAAGAGCGTCGGTCATGTGGCAAACTCAACAGGACACCGGTCCGGTGGCACACTCAGCAGAGTGCAGGTCATGTGGCACACTCAGCCACATGACCTGCACATTCCGCAGCAGGATTTGTCAGGTCACAACTTTTCCCACATTTTTTATATTTTTGTAAATAATTGTATGAATTATATTGGGCATCTTAATTAGTTTCATGGATTTAAATAATCTGAAGTGTAAAACTCTAAGCCAATATAAGAAAATAACCAACCTTTTATTTCAAATAACACCAAACTCAGACAAAAAATAAAAATATAGAGTCAGCCATGAATATTAGCCTGAGAATGATTGCTCCCACTCTGGTGCCCGTGGCACTACGTGAAGTGTAGTGTAATCGTCGTTTTCATATGTAGGTGCACCGACTTGTGCTTCCGTTAGTTTGAATATGAAGAAGTCACTCACACTCCAGCTCAAGTTCAGTCAATATTTTATTGACCTCTGTGGTGTCACAACATGGCGACGTTTCGGAACCCATTTGGTCCCTTCATCAGGCAAACACCCGATACTTGAGGGTATTATCCAGTATGGTGTGCAATGGGTTTCTTTTGATTATTGCATTCCGTTAGTATGCAATAATGGGGTTGCGGGACCTCAACATTTTTTTTTGTTGCCATTTTTGATTTTATTTTTAACTTTTTTTTTCATTGCTATCGCATGGGGGGAACTCATAAGCCCCCTATGTGATAGCACATTGGAGATGACAGGTTCTCTTTAGGGTGACATTAGGGGTCTCCTTCAGGTCCTCCTCTTCTTATTAGCAGTGGGCGGGAGCAATAGCCAGCCTGCTGTTTGCTATTGCAATTTAAAATAGTCAATAGCAGGCTGGCTATTGTTCCCAGCCGGTGAATGGGTACTTGATGCTGGCTCTCTACCGTCGGCAGAAGAGGGGGCACGGCAGAGCAGCAGGGGTATGGGGGAGCAGATGAGGAACTGGGGTACCATTGGGGGGCAGCAGAGGAGGAGCCAGGGAATACAGAGGAGGCACAGGGGGCAGCAGCGGATGAGCCGGGGAATGCAGAGGCACAGCCAGTCTGACAGCCTATGGGTGGTGGATTGTGGTTTCTCGCAGAGACACAATCAGTACTCTACTGACAGAACCATGCTCGCAGAGGCAGACATGTTTCTGGTGTGTCAGAGACATAAAACACTCTGAAAAGGGTGTTTACCAAAATGACATACCTAATAAAAGGGTGTGAAGGGGGTGCTGAGGTTGTTGAAGGGTTGTTGAGGTGTTTTAGGATGTTCTAGTGGACACCTGCTCTATGCCAGTTTTTATAACAGTATTATTATTTCCACATGACAATCCGACAGCCAACATAATATTTCATAGAATACATTGTGATTTAATAAAAAATTAGACATGGGTATAGATTTTATGCATATTCTTCTAAGGAGATGTAATGTGACCAACTCACCCACTGCACATTATAGCAGAGGCATATGTGGTACCTACTAGGTTGACTTCATCTCTACGATTCATGGAGAAATATGGGGAGAATGAAATACACTTCTCCCCATAATTAGAGCTGACGTGTGACATTGCACCTGCATTTTTTTCCTTCCACTGAAGCTGAGGCATTTTTTCCTCCCACTGATGTCAAGACATTTTATTCCGTTCACTATTGCTGAGGCATTTTATTTCTTCCACTGATGCTGAGGCATCTTATTTGTTCCACGGATGCAGAGGCATTTCTTCCTTCCACTGATGCTGAGGCATTTCTTCCTTCCACTGATGCTGAGGCATTTTATTTGTTCCACTGATTGGGGCATTTTTTTTTCTGTTTAAAGGAATTTTACTCTTCTACTAAGGCCAGGACATTTTTAACTCTCACTGACCACCAGCATTGAGTATTTTTTTTTTTTTTTGTGGTTACAAAGAATGACAGCTATGTGTGAAGTGTATATTGTGAGTAGAATTCAATTAACAATGCCCCTCTAAGCCAAACCCAATTCTCAGTGCAATGTAGCCACATCCACTGCTGCACGCTGGGCTCAATGAATAAAAGCCTGAAATCATCCAAAACATTTTTTTTTTGGATAGAGCAGGGTAGGGTTAGATGCTTTGTCAGGTTATCATTCCCATCCCTGTCCCTAATGATTTTATTGTTGTCTGTGACTGTCTGTCCCAGTTATACACATTTACACCTCAGGGACAGTAAAGAGGGAAAAATCTCCCTCAGCGAGGTCACAGACAGGAATGAAAATCAAACATTTTTTAACTCTATCCGACCATGTGCACAACTGTAGAAAATAATTTCATAAATTACAATTTGAAATAATTTCAAGCAACTATAACCAGTTTGTCCAAATAAATCCTGATATGAAAAATAATGTTCATTTGCAGATTCATTGATTTCATTTTGTTAGCCATCCAATAAAAATAAATAAAACATAAGCTCTTTAAGGGCTTGTTCACACCAAGCGCGGAGCAGATCCGGACCAGAGCAGGTGCAGACCGGATCAAAACTGCATCCAATGTATTCCTATGGTATTTTGACCTCCAGTTCACATCGCAGCGTGCGGATCCAGACCGGATGAAAAAAATGCGGCAAGCCCTATTTTACCTGCTCTGGATCTGGTCTGGAACGCATCAAAAACGCATGCAAGTGCCTGAAAGTCCATGTTAAACTTAAAAAAACGGCCCTAAACGCATCAAAAACGCATCCAAAACGCGTCTAAAACGCGGCACAACCCACTACACTGCGTGTGCAGAAACCTGACCGGATCTGGTCTGCATTTGGTGTGAACAAGGCCTAAAATAAACCTGTGCTTGGCCCCAAAGATATTAAAATTCCGTTTGCGCCTCTGCCATTCCATTTGTCTGAAGGTGTAAAGAGAGATATTTGATTCTTGTGGCTATGGGGGAGCACAATGCAGAATTGGGTGCACTAGAAGTCGGTCACCAGGAGCCAGCATTTTCACATCAGGGCAGGAAGGGAACCCTTAACTCTGTGCAAGCACAGACCAGAGTGACTTGGAGCTCACACAGGACCCCTCTCTTCCACAGGTAAATGGAGCAGCAGGGAAGTGAAGGGAAGGTTAGCATAAACCTGGCAGCCATACTCATTGCATACTTTAAAGAATGTCTAAACCCAAAAATAAAACATATATTGCAGCTTACCAGACCTTACTGTAGATGTGGTGTCTGCATTAGCTTTGTTTCTTAAAGCTGAACTCTACTTAAACTAAATTTAAAAAGAAGAACTACCATAGTGTAAACTCTTTTACATTACTGTCTAAGCATGGCACTGAGTGAAGTTTTTTTAAAGGCCAGAATTGCAATAGATGTTATGGTGCTTGTTTCCATGGTGGCGGCCATTGCTCGTGCCTTAACTGCTCAGTTAACATGCTCCAGTGACTATCATTCTCAGTCTTCTGGTGCTTTGATTGTTGCCCCACAATCTTTATGCAAGGTGATACTGAGAGTGTCATCATCACATTCTGGTGGCAGCGGTGGGATCTGATAGTGTAACTGTCACATTCTAGTGGAAGCAGTAGCATAGTTCTATTTAGAACAGTAGTGCGAGGTGACATCAGTGGGATCTGGGAACCATCACACAGGGGTCTATCTGAGAGTTATTACAATAAGAGGTGCACCGAAATGAAAATGTCAAAAACGGAAATGAAAAAGATTGTCAGGCCGAAACCGAAAATGTTTTTTATTTTAACTTTTTAAAATATTTTATTTTTATTTATTTTTTATATTTTATTTTTGTTTATTTGTTCATTTTTATTAAATATTTTAATCTTTAACTTTATTTACGGCTTCGGGGGAAATATCAGGGGTCTAAACAGACCCCTGATATTTCCCTTTTAAAATAGAAAAAGAGATTGAGGGCACAAAGTCATTCATCTCTTTTTCTGTAGCCCCTGTTATAAATGAACGGGAGTCCTCTGCACTGAGTGTTCCTGTTCATTCATAACATGAGAACATGGTATGTTTACTATAACCACAATCATGAATGAACAGGAGGTGATTCAGAGCACTTCCCATTCATTCATAATTGAGGATATAGTAACCATACTTTGTCCTAAATTATCTACAAACACTCACCGCTCTCCTTCCTGTGTCAGTGAGCGAGCGGAGCTCAGCCTGCTGTGACAGCGCTGGCTGTCTCCGACCACGTACCGCTCTCCTGATCTGTGATAGGAGACTGAGCGGTGTGGGAGGAGAGGTGCTGGCCACCTGTGACAGTTTCTCTCCTCCTGCAGCGCTCAGCTGCCTGTGCCAGTTTCTCTCCTCCCCGCTGGGACACAGAGCAGCGCTCAGCGGAGAGGAGAGAAAGAATGGATGCACTGCTGTATCGGCCAGAAAATGGCACTTTCGGCATTTTGCCAAAAGTATCATTTTCAGCCGAAATGTTTTGGCGGCTGATATATCAGTGCATCCCTAATTATAATACCACAACTTATTTAATGCCATGATAATTTTCTGTCAAAAATGTCCAATTCACAAACCTAAATGCAACAAAGAGGTGTAATCTTTATTTTTCATCTGAAATGAACATTTATCTGTTGAAAACCATATTTGCTCATAAATTGTTACTTTACCTTGTGAAGTGTTATTTTATCACCAACTCAGACATCTACCTTTCTTTCTCTACTCCTTAAACAGCTATTGTAACCCAGAATCCCAGTTCTCACCACCTAGAAACTGGTGTTACTTTATAGGGTGATAATCTGTGTAGTAATCTTTGTAAATGTACTTTTACATGATTTCTTTTCATAAGGGCTGTTACAATAATACTTACAGTGATATAATAGCAGTAGGAGTGGTAAAATGCCACTACTTACAGAGCTTACTAAATGCTTGCTATGCGTGTTTGTGATTGAGATCTGAGAGTTATGGTAGTTAAAGAAAGAAATAACACCAGAAGAGAAAAACAGGTTTGTGAATTGAGTATTGTGTGATAATTGTAAATGTCTTGTTGCCCATAGCAACCAATTAGCTTCTTTGATTTATTTTTAAACTGTAAAAAATAGATTGGGAAGCTAAGTAAATGCTATGGTTAATGTAAAGGTAACATTTTTGCTTTTGCATTGGTCCAAAATGATTAAAGTGACACTAAACTCAGGAGTTAAATCTTAAAAATGCATTGAAGTACTCTTACTATTAACAAAAACGTATCTTATTTGTATATCACTCAGCTGTAGATCCTCAAATCATCTCTGAATTGGTGCTGACACTGTCCTTCCTTATGCAGGGTGCCTATTTTTGTTCCCCATGGTCCCTGTGTGTGTTGTAAGGTGGCCATCACATAAAGCTCACACCCATGATGGACTACAATCTCACGTTTAGTTCACTAATTTGTATTGAGATTGTAGTCCATCACAGGAGTGAGCTTGAAGTGATGGCCACCTTACAACACACACAAGGACCATGGGGAACAAAAGTAGCCACCCTCCAGAAGGGAGGACAGTGTCAGCACCAATTCAGAGATGATTTGAGGACCTACAGCCGAGTGATACACAAGTAATATACACCATTTTAACAGTTAAGGTACTTGAATGCATTTTTAAGATTTAACTCCTGAATTCAGTGTCATTTTAATCTTGCAAACGTAACTTTTTTTGACTGGATGAGTAGTTACCTTAACAGTTTGCATTTATGGGGATCCAGAAAACATGACCTGTTGGACTACTAGAGGACTGGGGTTAAGAAAAAAAATGGGTCAACTGAAGATTTAAGGCCATAGATTTTCATATTTATAGCAGCGATAGATGTGCTTCTGAGTCTTCCAAGCCGGATGTGGACCATGCTGAGACCCTGCCCCTTCATAGTAAAAAATCCAGGACAAAGTATTCCTCTTCTGGGGAATAATTCTGATGACCTGTGAAATGGCAGCACTGGAAGCTTTACCATGCTCATGTGGAGGCAAATGATGTATATAAGCAATGATGCCCCCCAACTATGTTTGAGATATCGTTGAAAGTACAGTTTAATAATAATTTGAGCTTATGTCTAGGCTGAGCAAACCGAGGATGGTCCCAAGGTTCATAGTTCTGTGCCATTTATAACTTTTACATTTGAAGGTAAAAGCCTCTCCGAGGTTCTAATGTCATATGTACAGTATGGCGCAAAATCAACTACATTTTGTTTCAGAAATGCACACAGGTTTTTTTGGAATGACAACAAATTTACAATAAAATGGACAAACATTCAGAACAGTTTATTTCTGTATTAACTTGAACAGAACAGACAGAAGGCTGATAGTTCCAATCATCATGGTATATACAAACTATGGTGTATGGAATATGAGGGCAAATGCTTTTCTCAACATAGCAACCCCATTCACAACTGTTAAAGTTACTTTAGCCTTTCTTTCAGTTGACGGTTAATGTGGACATTTATAAAATGAGTTTGAAATACAGGCGAGAAACACGATTAACTCTTTTTACTGAGCACTGCCCATATTGTATTGGAACTTTAAATGCTGTCAGATAATAATTTATGATGTCCAATAAAAAAAGGATATGCGGCCATAATGCTGTTGCTGGTGTCGTTGCATTGCTACAGCAGAAGATACATAGACCTGCAATAGGGACAAACTACAAATGGAACACAAAGAACATGTCCACAGGCTACAAGCCACTCTAACGTCACAGACACCACAATGCAGTTACTGCTGGGTTAATTGGCCTTTAACATCTAAAACACTTTTACTGCCATATACTGAATGCTGGGCATTTGTTCAAGGTCTGTTCACAATGCTTCATAAGGGAAAACTTTAAGACCACATGTTCTTAACACTTTTACCAGTACTCTCCATTAAGCACGCCAAAAGGATCCAAGGTGTACAATAACTTAAAAAAGATAATTTTTTTGTGTAATGTTACAATATAAGCCTATATGCATGGTTTTAGGTTTTAATATCAGAGTGTACATTCAATGGGCCAAATATCACGTAAAAGACTGTATTATATCAATTTGACAGATGCCAGCACATATTTTTAGAGGAGAGTACATAAAAGACAAAAACATGATAATTTAATATTATAAAATATAATACATAGATGAAATACAGTGCACTTAAATATCTAAGTGTCAACTTTTTGTTAAATACTGTAAATACTGCGCTTTTTCCAAATGTTCCAACAAGTCCTTGTGCTTAAAGATGGCTTTCTGTTAAACAGAATACATCGCGTAACTGAAATACTTCCAATGAAACTGGTATTACAACAGATCACATACTTTCACAGACACGTCAACATTATAACATTTACCGATGAGAAAATAAGTTATTTCTCATTAGTTCACAGTGCGTAAAATGGAGTATGGTCAGTCTTATAGAAGGCTCTTTGTTATTTAAGCCAATAGCAGTAAAGTCTTGAAAGTGGACGCATTGTTTTGATTGGAGACAATGAAAAGCAACACATCACATGATGGCAGGAATTATACATGTTACTTCTTCATGGGTACTGTCTCAGAGCCCTCCGTCTCCTGTTGTAGAAATGCCTGAGACCATGTTGCCGTGAAAAATTCATCATGTAATTTTGTTTGCGAGTGCTGTGAAAATTAAGGTGAAATTATGATGGAGAATATGCATAGGACAATTCCAAACATAGTTTTCTACATCATCAAAAATGTCAATAAATGCAATTCAAGTCCAAAACCTTTTCACAAGACACAACAGAAAAATGATCCTATATATTACAGCTTGTGTTCCTTCCAAACCTTAAGTGCATTTATAATAGTGTGTCATGTGTAGTTTTACACACAGACACATGTCATAGTCCATTTACTGAATGACAAATCTGAGTGGATATACACTCAGAACTCAGCCAGATAAATAAAACCTCTGCCCCTTTTGATGTTTGCATATGTAGAACGAAATAAAGAGAGACAGAAAACAGTACGTCTGTATACTTGTTTTGTATGTGAAGAGATTATGGAGAATGGGCTAAAACACCAGAACCCAAGTCACTAAAAAAACAAAACATTGTCCCACCGCTAACTATCACCCCTTTTTTGCAAATAAAGCAGCTAACATACAATAATACTCACCTTACTCCATAGGCTTTAGCCATGACCTAACAGAGTTTTAAAAACATTTGACCATAGGTGAGAGTGGAGCAGTTTTGAGCATAGGAACAGTTGTTGGGCTATATGAAGGTGGTAATCTTGAAGGCATAAAATGAATTGACCAGATCATACCATACATGTACCACTCCTACCATTATGGTGGGCAGCATCCATAGAAAGGAATGTCTATGTTCCTCCTCCTCCCCCTTAGCTCTCTGTCTCTTCTCCACTCTACCCAAAATGTATAAAAAGAATGACTGGAGTTAGACTTTCAGTAAAAGTCTTCTCGTTAGTAACGATACTGTATAGCATCAAAAAGATGCCTTTACAACTTGTGCCCCAATAAGTAGCACATTCTCTTCATGCTCCTAAATTTCAGATCACTTTACTCAGTCATTACGTTCTTTGCAGCTTTCTATCAGTTCTGCACAGGTACAATGTTTTTAGATTTCTACAAGAGGACAGTGTGAATTGAAGTAAGTCAACTGCAAACTGTAGTAAATAACCCTAACCAATCAGTAATAATCTCTTAACTAATCTGTCTACTATAATCTGATTGGTTGCCAAGAGTTACTATGCTTTATACAATCTTTTTAAATACAATAAGGTCTACATCGAGGGTTGTATTTGGGCATGAGTATATTTCAGTTGACCTCTGTGCCCTGGCGGAACTACCAGTGTCGCAGCGGTCGCATGTGGGACCGGGCCCTGAAGTTCCACCAGTTGGGGGGGCGTAAGAAAAGGAGAGGGTCTGCACCGGTAACCGCCTTAGGAAATCCTATGACATGCTAGATGGACATTGGAGGGCTACCTGGCGGCACGCTCTCTCCCCGCTCTGCCGGCTCCGTGTGAAAACACAGCCGGTTACCAAGGAGCCTGGACTGTGTGAGGGTGTGACATCTGAGGAGAGCGGTAAACAAAAGTTCAGAGGTTGTGTTGGTATGATGGAAGGTGCCTACTCCTAAATTCAGACCCCAAGGCAAAGGTAGTAACCTCATAAAGCAGATCATGTATTCTCAATGCTGTTATGTTTAACTATGAACAGTTTCCATAACAAGATACAGTATGCAGTTAAAGACTAATATTGGTAATTGATGCAATGACATTGGACACAACCAAGTTTCACAGTTTTGTTAGCCTGGAAAGATACTACTATGTGATAGCACTAATGTATCTCTTGCTGTAAAATACAGAAACATTAGGCATTTTTACAAGTTTTACAAATCATGTCACCAAAATGGCTCCACATCTCACCAAAGTATAGCACTACTACTCAAGTAATATACAGTAAATCCAGCTGCCGGATAGCTTGTTTCTGGTTGCTTGAGGGTTAATAGTAACTCTAAGGACCCGTTCCCACTGCGCGATATGCAAATTGCGTGTTTGTCGCGCGATTTGCATATTGCGCGACATCACGAGATTTGCCGTGCGATATCGCGTTCAAGCTTGCATTGAGCAAGCTTGAATCGCGGCTAAATCCGCTCCAAAAAGGGTCCTGCTGTAGCGACACACGACCCGCAACAGCAGGACCCTTTGCCCCATTGAAATACATTGGAGCGCGATATCGCGCTGTAATTTGCCGCGATATCGCGGGAATTACCGCGTGATAAATCGTTCAATGTGAACGGGGCTTCAAGGAGACCCCCCCCGCAGCCGCATTCAGCTGCTGGCTAGCTTCTGGAGCCAACAGGTGAGTGTAAGCAGCTGCAGCCTAGAGCAATAGCCACACTGCTATTGCCTATTTCAAATTTCAATAGCCAATAGCAGGCTGGCTATTTCTCCCCAATGTTTACATTCTGCTGCTGTCGGCCGGCAGCAAAATGAAAACAAAGCATTCCGTTAGCAACCAAATACATTTAGTTGCTAACTAAATTTTTTACTGTTGCACCAAGCAACCGACAAATTTTTAATGTGCATCAAGCCACCAACAACAGAATGCAGGACATATTATGTGCCCCATATTTTTTTGCTGGTTGCTGGGGAGTGCTGGTTGCTTGAATGCCGGATAATGAGGTGTTTACTATAATAATATGTTTAATTGTTGTTTTCATTATTTTATTTGTATCATTATATCATGTGATGCCAGATGTGGCTTTAGGTAGAGAACTTTATCAGATTAGAATTCTGCTGATATCTTTTATGATGGCTTCAAGTAATGACTTTGGCAGATGTAATAACGAGTTGAAAACATGTATGGAATGTAGATGAGGTTTTCCACTTGCAGTATAGATGTTGTTGTGCATTCACAACTGTGTACACAAAAGTAAACATATACATATTAAGCTAACTACAATTTAATCCAGTGGCTGATTGGAATACATGGATATAAATAGCAAAAAATGGTCACTTTTATATATATTTGCAACACCCTCTAATGCAGTTAAGTAAGAACCTTCTGCTACATTTTGTTCACACATTGAAACTACGATGCCTGATCTGTTCTAGTGTGAAACAGATGTGGCAACCACACCAAGGCAGGTCAGTTTAGCTCAACAGCCTCATGTTGCATGAAATTATAGTCCCCTGATGGACTACAATCTCATGTTTAGTTAGCTCATTTGTATTGAATTTATAGTCCATCATTGGAGTGATCTTAGAGTGGTAGTTACCGTACTTTATAACACACACAGGGAGCATGGGGAACAAAAGTATTCACTCTCCAGAAGGAAGGACAGTGTCAGCACCAATTCATAGATTATTTGAGGATCTACAGCCGACTGATACACAAATAAGGTACAGTATTGTATATAGAATTTAACTGCTGAGTTTAGTGTCACTTTAAAGCAGGGGTCTCAAACTCAATTCACTCGGGGGCCACTGGACAAATTTCCTTCACCCATGGGGGCCGCTTGCAAATTTCTGCAAATGTCATTCAAAAAAAAATGTAACTATATATGGTACCATTGTTAATGTCTGCGTGTGTTTATATGTGTTTGTGATGGTTTCTTTGTGTGTATTGTCAGGATTTCTGTGAGTGATGTCAGTATGTGTGTTAATATTACTGTGTGTGCCATATCAGTATGTACACATGTGTACATGTGTGAACAGTGTCAGTATATTTGTGTGTATTTTTTTCTTTTTCCCAGGTTTTATTTTAATCATAGAGGACCAACAGATTCACACACAGAAAGACACACACATAGAAATATGCACGAACGGAAATACATACACATTGAAGTACGCACAAACAGAAATACGCACACATAGAAGTACGCACAAACAGAAATACACACACACAGAAATAAGCACACAGAAATACGACAAACAGAAATATGCATACACCCCCCCCCACAACCAGAAATACACACAATAAGGCCCTATTCACACCTGTAAATTTAGGTGCAATTAGGGATTCCTGCGTCAGGAATTTGCATTTTCCTGCAGCAGGAATTCCTAATGTGGTGTTTACAAGCGACAACTGTCACCCGTTCAAGTTAATGATTGGGGTGACAGCCACTGCATGTAAACGCTTGCACACCGCATTTAATGGTATGTGATATGTGGTTAGGAATCAATCATCTCTGGATGCATCGATCATCCATCCAGGGAGATGGATGATTGAATCCCCCCCACCCACCAATAAAATAAAACAAAGAGTCCTCTCACCTGCTTATGTTTTTGCACAATCCCTGCTGATGGAGTGGTTGATTAGTAAGGTCTGCACCTTTGGCTGCAGCAGACCTTACAAATCCATCCTTTCGGCCAGCACTCAGTGAAGAAAGTCAGGGTGCTGGCCCAAAGGAACTGAGTGCCAGCACTGACAGAAGAAGCTATGCAGTCTGCATCCGACAGTGATGCAGACTGTGTAGCTGCTCATGCAAGTCAGGTACGCGGTCCGTGACCACGTGCCTGACTTGATAGCTGGCTGCTGGCCACATAGTACCGGTTCGCAAGTGGGTGATGTTCACTGGAGTCACTCCCCAAATATCTTGATCACTTAGCAACCATGTATTTTCCTTTGACTCCTTTTATTCTCCATTATGTGACACTACCTTGCTAGACTTTGTAATGACCCTTGCCAACCTAGACCTTGAAAACCTCACTGGTAGACTACAGGAGAACTCTATGGGTGATATTGGTAGCTCATCCCACTATTACCCAATTCTTAGCATAACTGAAAGGTGATTGTTTATTTGGTATATATTATGTATGAAATATACTTGATATTGATTTGTGACCACTAGACACACAGGAAGACAGAACACTTACCTTACTCTATTGCAGAACCAATGCAAGCAAATAATGAAATACAACACAAGTTAGAAAATGCCTTTCTATGCATGCAGCACTGTGATTACTCATAAAAGACGGATGATGTTTAGCGGCAATAAACGATTTTTCATCTCTTATGAAAAGAGAAATTGGAGACATTACAGTTGTAATAAAAACAGTCATAAGATTTGCGTTTTAATGCCATGCAGCATTTGCTCACAATACAGAGATGTACTAAACATTCATGAAGGAATGGCAGATGTCTGTAGGTGACAGTGAGATCCTGTTTAATGCTTGCTTTCATTTTGTGTACATTTACATCTTACACAATAGTACTATAAAACACACATTGCAAACAGCCATATATAAACAGAAGTATCTCAAACAGATTGAAGCTGTAAATTATTAGAACTGTCTGAACTTTTAGCACAATCACAATACCAGGAACACGACCTTGCACTCATACTGCACAATTATGAGTGGGTGAGTGTCACAATTATTGACATTGTCTATTAGTTAGGACTTTGACATATTGCAATGGCTTCTGGATGCACATGCAGATATCGAGTGATTTATTTAATTGGTGCAGTGGACAACAATGTGTTTAGGGAACACTTAATGTGCAAATGATGCATACAGGCAGTTCCAGCAATTTACAAGTGCAAATACATATATAGTGGTGGTATTTAGAAGGACCTGAAGTGTTCATCACATCAAGCGTCAGCTCTTTGCTCAGAGGATTGTGCATACATACGTAAAAGGAGGAGCAAACTAGTGTTAGCTGTTCCATATAACAATGGTCTGCAGATGATGAACAAGGGGAAGTCTCTACATTTTATAGAAGGATGAGAACTACATTTACTAACCTGATGTTAGATTCTTACATGTTCTTAAACCAGATCTAAACAACTCTTACAATGTGATTACGTTACTATTTTGTCTGTTATAAATCTATCTATTGTATGACAAATAACATAAAGCACCTCATTGTCATCCAATACCTATATATCTCCCTATATCATTTTCCCTTTAACTAAGAGAATTAGGTGAAGCTCTGCTGACTTCCATCAACCAAATCATGTGCAAGCAAAAATACTGTTTTTTGGTTTTTTTCCTTGCTTGCGATTGGGTATTATTTGTAAATTAAAATTTCACCACATTCACTAAACGAATAGAAACTTCCCTTGCAAAGTGCAAATTCCCTGGTAAAGTAAACAGCCTATTTGCAGTTAGTAAACCAACCCCTTGGTATCTCTTAAAGACAACTAAATTAACAATAAACAAATATCTGAAATGCAGTCCATGGCTGTTCCTGAAAGGCCGGACGGGAGCCTTCTAGGAGAGGGAGGGCATCTTAAGACGTCCTGGCCCTCTGTCCGCTCATGTGCGGCGCTCATCGCGCACAGGAGTGGGGAAACTGTCAGCAATGTAAACAGCCAGCGATGGCTGTTTACATTCAAGCGTTCGGGCGTCTCTAGAGACGCCTGATTACTTGTAGTAACTGCGGTTGTGTGCCCCCCGCCGTCTCCGCCAGTCCCGAGATCTGCTGGGCCCAGGACGGCGACGCTGTCACTGGAGATTAAAGGGAGTTCAGTACATCACCCCCTTTTGATCTCCTCTCTGGTCCCCGAATGCAGGAAGTGATGTATATTACATCACTTCCTCATTCAGTGTCACTCTCTGTTTACAGATGCCGGTGAGAAGCTGATGCAGCAGATCCCTGCTTCATCAGCTTCTCTGGGTGTCCGTCGGTGACCTGTCATGTGAATTGGCTATCACATAGGGGATTTCTTAGTCCACTATGTGATAGCACTAAAGGTATGTGTAAAAAAAAAAGTTAAAAAAAAATGAAAGCATAAAAAAATAAAGAGGCTAAAACAAAATAGTCACAAATAATTTTTTTTTAAAATAACAAATATTTTTTTACAGTCCCCCACCCCCCACATAAACACGCAAACATGCATTGGGTGCGCCAGTGTGCGAAAACGACGATTCCGCCTATTGTGCCACACGTTACATATAACTGCGAATGTCGGAGTGAGAGCAATAATTTTAGGGCTATTAATTACTGATAACACTAAACTGATGAGCGGTAAAAGCTTTTAACCCCTTCATGACTGAGCTTATTTTCAGTTTCTGTTCATAAATGACTCACACACTTTTTACATTTTTGCTGTGTGATTCTTCCACATCAGTAATATACTTTCTTACTAAATGTACCCACACATATTATATATTGTTTTTTAGAGGACAGATAGGCCTATATAATTATATCCAACATGTGTCCCTAACGCCTCACTAAAATATAAAAAAATATTAAAAAAATGAGGAAAAAAACTAGAAGAAAACACTTTTTTTCACAAGTTTTGATAATTATTATTTTTCTTTTTAGAAATTTGTTATAATAATTA